TTACCAATTGTCATTACATTTCTAATACCAATAACTACGAAGTTTAAAGAATTACTTAACCTATACGGTAAGAAAAAATGTCCTAACTCATTACAACGATGGTGGTAGGCCAGGTTATTAACACGGCGTTATGCTGAAATTCAACGACATCCGAATGAAAAAGAATCCCATTATTTCTGCTGTATGAAGAAGTTATGTACTTCTGTGTTTGGTAACGAATTTTAAAACCTACTTTTAGGAATTTTACGCATTAATGAGTTTATTTGTAATAAAGACTATGTTGTTATGTTGTTAGGAGAGATCATATGTAATTATTAGATAATGAACATTTATCTGACATGAAGATAATAGCATAATTTAAGATTAGGTTAGGTTAGGTTATTTCGATATAAGAAACTAAACAAAGGCAATCTGTCTAAAGGAAAAGATGCCTTCGGGGAATTCTTCCTACAGAGAACTGACTATTATTCACGTAAAACATTAAGAAAACCATTTATGCAGCCAGCCTAGATTCGAGATTAGGTCGAATTATCAGCATCAGGCTTCTTAATGATTCGCCCATTGATGGAGACCTAGGATTTAGGGAATAAGTAATAACAACATGAATAACCAAAACAAAGGAATAACTTTAGACACTTGTAAATAAGAAGTTAGAAGCTGATATTTATCGGTGGTCAAACTATAAACTAATAAAATCACAGAATATATTTTTTAGTGTATATGCTGGTAAATGTAAATACGTTTATGCGAACATGATAGAAAAAGCAGAGGACTATTCTTCTTTGAATATGCAAATTAAGGAACTGATTTTAAAAAGCACGTAAAACTGCCCTATCTTAATACATATTGTTTCATGATTACCTTCGTACTTACCATGTCCACATTTTACCTCCCGCCACCTATACATATGTGAGGTAATATTTTTTGTCGAAAAATTCGATAGTCAGCTTTCAGTGAATAAGAAAGAAACAGGTTTCTCACAACACGCTTTTGCATTTTTCACAATGATATCTACCTGTATATGTGCGTGAAAATGTTTTTGTGCACCCTTTATATCAAGCTTCCAGAAATTTATATTTTCCGTATCTAAGTTTCCCCTATTTATACAACAACAGAAGTAGTGCTAAAAATGGACAACCAGAATTAGTGCTTCACTTAAAGCCTATAACGGTTTGTATTGGACGACTGGAAATGGTACTTTATCTGAAGCCCATAAGTGTTTTAATTTAAGAACTATATTAAAACGTAATCCAAAACTTTTCAGTTTTAGTATTTAATACTTTATATCAATGGGAACAACATATTAGATTTTGGCTAAAATTGATAAAATATAGGTGATACTTTATTTGAAGCTCTGAAGAGATTTTCCTTGAAAAAATATATGAGATATCTAGAACTTCAGAAATTTGGTATTTAAAGCTCGTACGCAAATGAAAACAACATGTCCAAATTTACCTTTACATACCCAAAAATAATGATATTCCATAAAATATCCAATCCATTTTTAAAGGAATGTATAAAAGACAAGCCTAAGTAGCATTATCCAATGAAAAAAAAATCAAATGGTTTCTGATATGCAAATCAAGGCGTTACGTCATTTGATGGTGAATCAAGCACTTTGTGCACAGTGAATATCTGACTGAATTTCTGAAATAAGGTGCTTAATTTCAGTGCGTAATGATTAAAAAAAAAAGGTTTGTTATGGCTCCGAAATATTATTTGGAAATATCTGTGAAGTGGAAAATCATCAGCCATGAAGAAGCAAGACAGACAATCATAAAAGCAGTGAGATGTGTGAGTATTTCAAGACAGACAAGCTTTAAGTTAAGAAAACAGTTTCAGAGCTCTTTAATTGCTCTAATAAGGCCTAGACAAGGTCGCAAACGAATAACAACTGCTTCTCAAGATCGATTCAATTAATCAAAATCATCAAGCTCAATCTAGCAATAATTGTCCATCGTAACATGACGTCTACTGCTTACAGTTAAGTTCGCCACCAGAACTGTTGTATCACGGTATACTGTATGCAGAAGGCTTAATGAAAAAGTAGTCTCGGCCCCAGAGAATGTGCAATCCTACTGGGCGACAGAATTTAAGGCAGAAATTTGAAAGGTTGAAGAAGCACGGAGCTGAAAAATTTAGGGATGGCAAAATTTTTAGAATTTAGGGAAGGCAGTGGGCAGCAGAACTTTGGTGCAACAAAATATTAAAAATTAGAGAGGCGCCGAAAAACAGAATTTGGAACTCGCTGAGACTGCTCCGGGCGGCAAAATGTGTAGCGCCTGTGAGGGCTTTATGCCAGAAAGCCAAGGGTATGTGTTTCACTGCCTTCACAACAAATGGGGGATCGCTTGAATTGGTTCAAAGTACATCAGAACTGGAGTCAACACCAATGCTTCTATTCTCTCTTTACTTAAGAGTCAAAGTTTAGTTAATATCTGATCCTAAACGTACTTGCATCTGGAGGATGTCAGGAAAAGCGAAAACTTCCTTCGATCATTATGAAACGTGACTATTTTTGTAATGCAGGTGTAATGTGACGGGGAGGGATAGTGATCGATGGACGTACACCCTTACACGTTTTCAACAGCGGATCTGTGACCGGCCAGAGATATCGAGATGCGGTCCTAAAAAGTTAAGTAAGAATTTTCATAGGTGCATATGGATCCTACTCTTTATTTATGGGCAACAATGCTCATCCACATCGAGCAAACTTCGTTCAATTCCTTGAAGCTGAAGACATACCGTGGCCAGCAATACCGAATATCGTGGCCAGTAAAATCTTCTGCTCTGAACACGACAGAAAAATTATGAGACTACCTTGGAAAAGAAAACTGAAGAGAGACATCCTTCACCTAGAGATGCAATTGCCCTGAAGACCGCATTGTAAGAGTAATGGAACTTAATTCCCCAAACTGTGGTTATCGGGGTACTGCCAGCATGAAAACGCGTTGTGACATGTGTGTACAAATCAGACGATATGATATTATTGATTAAATTCTTATGCTTTAATTTTTTTCTGAGTTGTTCTTTTTTTTTTTTTTTTTTTTTTCTAACTTTCCTTGTAACAAATTATAATGCTATGTGTCATTCCTATTCGCAGTTTCCGTGATTTCGTACATATAAAGATAATTTTGAACATGAGTGTAGATTTTGGTATATATGATGAACCGGAAGTGGCACTTTATTTGGAGCTCTTACGAGATATTTGTAGAAAAATATAACATCACCATAATAAAAGTTTTGCAGGCAGGATTTTTTTTAATTGTGCCTCCAATAAATTAGATTTTGTTTAAAAACTAAGAACTACTTGTAAAATATATGATATTCTCAGAAATTTAATGCAATCAAGTAATATAGTGCAAGGATACTGTAAATTATTCACCAATCTCGAAAATGTGTATTTTCAAATGTATTAGACATACAATAATAACTGACATATGAAAAGAACCGGAAAATCGAAAGTTTTCCTCACACAATCATAAATGTTATATGCGTATTGGTTACATAAGGTACGTACAAGCGATAGTCGATTTCGTTCTATACCTCTTATAGAGTCTTCAGATTTCCTGATCCATGTACTTCTTCTTATGGGATACGTACTGAAAATTGTACTATATATTAACTGACGTTTTAATCATTTTACGTTTCACCCCGAGAAGTTTGTTGAGAATAACACTTTTCAGTATAAAAGATTTGGTACAATGTAAAATTTTGTTATTGGGAAATAATACATCGTATGAAAGAAATAAAATCCTAAAAGAAATGCAAAGAACAAGATACAGGGAGAGTTCTGCAATCTCGGTTGATTAGAAGCACATGGAAAAAAAAACAGCAAGAAAACTTCATTAAATGAGCATTAAAAAAGTATGATAGAGTAATGTCTGTAAGAAGAGACGCCCAGAAATGAACTTACCCTCCCCCGTCTCACGTAACACCTGAGGTCTCTTCCCACCTTTGCTGCTTTCTTCTAATTACGTTAATTACAGGAAAGCGAAACGAATGCACGTGTTGAACTGAAGGAACTTTAATGCAGAGCATGATTCTCTGCCTTAGGCGGAAAGATACAAATATAAGGAAGAAAAAAACATCACAGGAAAACAATTCGTCATACACTTTAGTTCATTCACGGTTTTTTATGCGTTTTCTACTAAAATTAAAGGGAGTAATTTGCACTCTGAAAATGATTTCCCGATGATAAAATATATTTTAAAAGAAATGAGATTCGTTTGATTTCACGCAGTTCTTGAGAATTTCGATTTGTAATTATTTATGAAAAACAGATCATATGAAAATTCTAACACAGAAAATTTTTACTTACTCAGGCATTTTTCTGAATTTTCAAACTAATCTCAGTGGACATTGTGTAATTAAATTGTGCCGCAGTGTATTATAAAGTCAAAATGTATTCAAGATAATCTTTATGGTAATTATTTCTGAGCATATAGTACAGTCTCCAAGTATCAGTCAGTCCATCCATGCATCTAAAAAGCCGGACAAATGGACTGTTTCTTTTAATATGATTTTTTTTTTTTGAGGGAGATAAATCAGTTTTTATTTTTTATAATCATTACCGTATAGATTTCATAGTCTGATAAAACTTGTTTATGAGGTTTGCATATACACTACCAATCATTATTGAGGAAATTAGCTCCGGTTTACGTACAGTACTGCACCATTTAGTGTTACCGTACAGTACCTTGTCTGGAACTCGTTTTGTGGACATAACAATAGTATATTAATAAAAATCTAGTAGATAAATACTACAGTTCTTGCAACAAAATAAGAGGTAAACTTCACCTAGTTTAGAATCATTATTTTCTACAGAGAAAGGAAGTTGAAAAGCTGCTTTAATAACCTACCAATGAAAAGATAACCGAAATTGTGCATAATTAATCATAATTATAATCATTGCTAATTTCTTTTCTAAGGCAGCACTCTTTTCTTTTATCCCTTTTTTTAAAGACTAAGGAATTTCTAGAAAAACTAATGTCACTTACCATCAGGACAAGGGCTGACGCTGTCTGGTCGCAGTCTGGATGGTGCGCTTTCCAAACCACCGTGGTGGGAGGCAACGTCCTCGGAAGCATCACTGCCTTCCATGGCAGATGACGGTGGTGAAATGCCATTTGTTGAGTTATTGTTGTCAGCGGCTGCGTTTGAGTTATTCTTGGAGGCAAAATGTGTGAGGTTTAAACCTTGGGTGTCACGGCTGTCCACTTTTTCATACCCGTACCAGCCAAGAAGCTCATTCATCGTGGTCTCGGCGTAGTCCTGGAACAAAAGGTTCATTGCCTTTTGAGTGGTGTCTGAAAACAGATGAATACTCTTTTTTAAAAATAGGGGGACTAAATTAATTCGAAACTACCTAAACAGCAAGTTTCGTCAATGCTTTATGCAGGGTGTGTTCATAAAGTTAGGAAATCCTAATCCTAACTTCGAAAAGAAATTGCATTTGCCTAATATGCTGAAATCTAAGAATTTTTTTAATATTCAACGGATTAACTTGTTCACTAGATGGTAAAGTGCCACAATTGTCTAGGATTGGATTATTAAAACTGCTGAATACTTTTTTGTGAACTTAACTCAAGCAGAAGCTTATGCAGATATAATCTAAAACCTACGGAAGATTTAGAGGCCAGCATAAGAAATAGAATTCCACGCAGAATAACAAGAAATTCTGCTTCAATATTCAGAGGAGAGGTTTGTAACTCTAACAACAAAAATTGTTAAATAATCTGCTTACTCAATATCACATAATCTTATCTGTATATGTCGAGTGGAAAAGCTGATCTACCATGACACTGTTTCCTCATTTCTCTTTTCAAGAATTTACAATAAGTGCTGGATATGTCGCTCAAACTTCTAAATGCGAAGAGTTTCAAGGCAATATTCCACATAGATTTTCCTGATTAAAGGTATTAGACTTCTAGTTTTTTCACAATTCTGAAATCATCTCTGAATCATATTCCCTCCTTTACATAGCTCTACATGAATAAAATTCCGAGGTGGCAGATATGCAGGTGAAATAAAAAGCAGAAAGATATGGGTAATAAAGTAATCATGTTCGTATCTAGGGGATATGTTCGGCGCCTTTCTTCTCCCATTTTCAAGACATCCAATAAACATGAAAAGTCATTTGATTATTGTAAAAAGATAATAAATTTCTTGCATCAGGTTTCCTGACTTTATGAGCACCCTACATTTCACGAATGTTATGGATAGCTTAACACATATTCTGATACCCAAAAGAGGACATCATATATTGTATTATAGTATTAAAAATATAACTTATTGTTTAAGTTAACAAGAGAGCCTAAATGAAACTATTTGGAGAATAGAAGAAAGAAAAATCAGTTTCAAATAGGCCGAAAAATAAATAGAATTAGACTGAAAACAACGATAAAAGCTTTAGCTATTTAAAATTATGAGAAAATGATACTTGAAAAGTGATAATCACAGTGTAATAGGTTTTTTAAACTTTAGAGCAAATAGATATTCATAGAGTTTTAAAAAGAAAAGACATATTTTATTAGTTCTAAAAATTATTTCTCTCAGTACAGAAGGATGCTATACATTGCCTGAAAAGGAAGAGAAAAAATATTGTGTTTCTGTGTTATAATACTAAATAACACTTTTGCTTAAACTTGCGGCTCATATAATATCAAATACATATTTATATTAAGGCTCAAAACTTGCGGCTCACATAATACAAATACATATTTACATTTCATATTAAGAACGAGTATATAAATTACTAGATTTATGCACAAATGCATTTACAGGTAAGGTTCGTTAGGATTTCAATCTTATTTATGCAAAAATGCATCTTTTACTAAAGAACATATTAATACTCATTTATTTTAAAAATGACACTCAATTGGAAAATAATAATATTTTTAATTTTATGAAGACTATATCGCCAAGGTGACCACAACCGCCCCAAACAGCCGAAATTCCGATGTTGTTTTCTTCCCTCTCCTAAGGCATGCAGTAGCAGGTGCAGTTTCCCTAAATGCATTGCATTAGTTTCTTGCAGACAGCTTGTCCTAAAAGGATTTATTTCTGGTTTTTTATCTTTGTCTTGTTAGAAGTAAAAATGATGTCATTTGAAATCTTCACTCTTCTTTATGCGTTAATGATTGGGGAGGGTGGAAATTGCTGTGACTCTCGAAAACCATTTCGAACGGTTCGGTATTTTAACATACAGGTCAGCGAAGGCTTCGGTTTTCAAACAATTAAGATTCAGGAAGGATATTCGTAATAATTATTGCTACCAAAAAATACGCTAGGAGAATTTATGAGATTTTATTTTATTTTATTTTATTTATTTATTTATTTATTTGTTTGTTAAATTATTTGTTAATACCCAATGGCATGTTACCCAAAGTTACCTTCTGGGCAAGTAGCCCAAAGAGGCAATTTGCCCAGAAGGGCTATTAATTTCATTTTAGTATTTTGCGTTTATTCGCTATAAACGGCGAATCACTTTTTAAATTGTTGCCATCAAATATTAGAGCCCTGTATTACATTTAAAGTAGCTAAATAATGAAGAATCTGCATAATGTATTATCTCTCTGGCATTGTGAAAAAACGACGGTACCTAAAGTCATCAAATTTTGAATAATATAGTCCTCCGCGCGAACATGGGCACCTTGAAGCCCGAATTTGGAGTTTCGAATTTGTTTTGTCTATTTCATATTTTGTAAAACTTTAAAGAATTTTTGATTAAAAAACCCATCTCTTTCAAAGTGAACAGTAGCAACACTTAAGGGAATGAAATATTTTTATCTCCAGCGCGCGAGACTGTGTATCGGTAATTCTAAAGATTTGCTATTTTTTAAATATTTTTAGACCAAAGTACATTCGCCTGTTATTCATCTCATGGGTTTACTAATGTGGTCATAGTCTGCCGATTTTGTTTTGTTAAACTCAAGGAAAGCATCTATTAAATCTTATTACAGCGAGTATACTTACTACTTTGGTAGGGAACCACGTTTAACACTACTGCGTATAAATCTCCAGAACCTTCAAAAATTCAAAACATCATCAAAAACAGTTCTGTTCTTTTAGAATTTTAATATAATCGAATGCCATCTTCCGTGAAGGGATTATATATATACTGCTAGCTATTCAACTCTGTTTATGCGGGTATTTATTAATTTAAATTTAAATTTTCTTAATTATTAATTTAAATTAAAAGGACTTATATTATGAATGCTATTATTGTTCATTTTAAAATATTTTTAAAAAATCCTTTGACGTTTTCGTGATGTTTCTTTGCAAATAAAGCACATATTGTGGAACAAACTGTTTCTTTTTTAATAATGCAAACAGAGTTTAATTATTGTTAAGTAAATTGTTACATACACAAATGGTAAAGAAATTTAATGCCATATTACATTGACACAATTTAATGAAAACAATCAACTTACACACAGGGTCATCGAAAAGCTATTTAGAAATTTAATTTCCTTAAATATCAATCCTAGACATATACACTCTTATTAGCAGTGTCTCAAAATAAGATACGCAGTTTCGTGAGAAAGTTTCATAGTAGATATGTAAATACAAAAATTTAACCTTTTATGTGGTTTTCATAATCAAAAATTAGTAAAATACATTATGAAATTAAATACAAAACACTCCATACATTCAAATTCAGTATTCAAGAATGAATTTGCTGACTTAGATTATTTTTGAATGCTTACTGCTAAGCAGAACGTTGCCAGTGTAGTAACGAATTCCATTACCATTCAGAGAGCATTAATTCCAGAGGTACGTGATTATTCCGTTGCGTTATTAATAGATACGAATTTATTTATTATTTTAGCAAATACAATGGTTACAAGCATTATTATTAAGCACACGCCTTCATCATTATTAGGCTTAACACCTTCTTTCTTCCATCAAGAAAACTAAAAAACTCAAGTTACAGAATATCAACAGAGACAAGAAGCTCGGAGCGCCACCTAACGGCGCGAGCTATCAATTTATAACAGCCAGGTTTCGGTTGTTCGTTTCGACGATTAATGATAGCGCTCGTAAAATAGCACTGCTTGTTTAATTTGTAATTATCCTCATAAAACTATTATTTGCTAATTCCTGGGCAAATTTTGCACATAAATCTATGAGAATTTTATATGAAATTTATAGAAGCATAATGAGTATTTTACTTTATCTGGCATTCATAAAAGCATAATGGACATTTCATATACACTCATGTCCATAAATTAAGGATAATGCAAAATCAGGCGAAGGAAGAGTTAGAAGCAAAACAAATTTGACTTATTTGTAAAGCTTATTTATTAAACAAAAGGTAAACAGCAAAAAAAGATGCTATATGTTTGATATTATTAAAAAGATTAGCGATTTTTTCTCCCTGGAGCAAATTACAAAAAAAAAAAAAAAAAAAAAAAAAAAAAACCTATTTACAAAAAACCAATATTACATGGTTGGTATGATTGTTAATACATTGTATGTCTACCTGTCGATGCAATACAGTCCGTACAACGCCTAGGCATGCTGAGTATCAAATTATCGATCTGATCTTGGGGGATATTACACCACTCAAAAAGCAATGCTCTCCGAAGTTCCCGTACACATGTAGGAGGAGGTTGACGGGCTGCAACTCGTCGGCCAAGTAAGTCCCACACGTGCTCTACTGAATTCAAGTCCGGTGAGAATGCTGGCCAGTCCATACGGGTGATATCCTCCGATTGAAGGCATTCGCTTACGATGTTTGCACGGTGAGGACGGGCGTTGTCATCCATAAACACAAATTGTGCGCCCATGACGTCCCGAAACAAACGTACATGTTGTTCCAAAATGACGTCCCGATAGATTTGGCGTGTCATGGTTCCAATTTGAACATGCAGGTCAGTTTTGGAACCCAGAATAATTCCACCCCAAACGAGCACTCCTGCACCACCGTAACGGTGTCGTTCAATGATGTTTTCTTCGTGGTAACGGGTACCTGGAGCTCTCTATATGAAAGTCCGGCGAGAATCAGACTGCAAGCTAAACCTGGACTCGTCGGAAAACAGCACACAAGCCCGCTGTTGCGGTGTCCACAATGCATGCTCTCTACTCGCAGGCGACAGTGAGTTGCAGTAAGTGGAACGCATCTGGCAGGTCTACGAGCATATAGACCAATCTGCCCTAAGCGTCTGTACACGGTCTGCCTTGAAATTGTCGTACCAGTGGCTGAAGAGAGCTGACGAGAAAGGTCTGAGGCTGTGCTCCGCCTGTTTCTTTTGGCAGTAACTGCCAAATACCGCTCCTCATTCGGCGTTGTAACTCTGGGGCGACCTGTGCTGTAACGTCTACTCACATTGCCATCATCTTGGAATCGTTGCCAAAACCTGGAGATGACACTCTGGCCAATTCCAAGTTCGTCTGATACTTCCAGTTGGGTACGCCCACATTCCAGACGGCCGATAATTCTACCACGTAAAAAATCATCCAAATGTGTCCTTTGTGTCATAGCTATTCGGTTATTGCACTGAAATGCTAATAAAGCGCCTGCGAACAATTTTACTTCTTTGCCTGTATTCCTTATATAGCACTCTCTTACACTCTCGTCATTGTGACGTACCATCGGTGTCATCCGGTTACTTCCTGAAATTTGCATATGATTCTTGAAGATGTGTGTAGTGATTTTACAGGTGATATATCTATTTTAGAGTTCGATTTCCGCGTGACTTCAAATTATCCTTAATTTATGGACATGAGTGTATTTGACGTTTTTATCCTCAAGGATTATGTAAAATGTTAGATTTTGCACTTACGGGATCTTCCTACCCGATTAATGCTGTGTTTTCATCAAATTCTGTACCTTAATTTGAAAATTATTAAAATACACGTATCTAGGATTATCATTTAAAGAAAGAAAGGCCATGACCATTTTTTTCCCAAAGTCCTATAGAACAAAAATGCATGTAGGTAATCACGTGTTTGTTAATAAAAAGATCGTTTATGAAACAAAAAATATTTTGTTATTAAATTACTTCTTAGTATTTAAAAAAATAGCAAATGTCACAAAATACGCAATGTTGCTCATGTCGTACCATAAAAACATACACCCTTGATTAAAAGACGGAAATACAAAGAAATGATCCGCGAGAAGCCGTTAAAATAGATTAGGACAACGCAAGCAAAACTGGTATTTTGCCATTCTTCAGTTATTTTATTATCAGTTTACCAAGTTGTAAAAATTAAGCATTGATCTTCTTTCTGTCATTCATTACTGCTTGAAAAGGAATCTTGACAGCTACAGTGCATTATCGATCTTTTAGTGGTACAAGAATGTTTCCTCTTTCCAATTGAGAGCTTTATGCGTGAAAATTAGGTTAGGAAACTACCATCAGTGAGATGTCTTTCACTTTCAATGTAAACTAATTTTCTTCTTAACGTTTAGCACTCGTCATGTTCAAAGAATTGGCGATTGAAAGTAAAAAAGAAACTACCTCTTAATTAATTAAAAAACTAATCAAAAAACGTAGAAATTACTCAACAAATAAATCTCCTGTCGCCTAAATTTAAATTCTACCAGTAATAATATATACCTTCTTTTTGAGACTTTTAACTGATGACACACCTTGCGAAAAAAAAAAAAAAAAAGGAGGGGGCAGTTCTATTCTATATCTTCCTTTCTACTGGGCCGATTGATGAAATTTAACTTGCATTTTTCATGTCTCGAAAGCGCGGCATAGGATATATATTAGATTTATACATAGTTTTTTTCTAATATAGGTATTTTGACCCAAGATCGGACATTTTCTGATATGAAATACCAGTTTTTTCCATATTTCGATTCTACGACTCAAATTATGCTAAAGTGCCAAGTTTTGTAAAGATCACACGAGTAGTTCTTAAAACATTAGCTCTCAAAATTGAGCTCCTCAAATCTCAAAAATCTAAGAATTATATATTTATTAATATATACCATATTTACTTAACACTGAGGAGCTAAAATTTTGAGAGCTAATGTTTTAAAAACTACTCGTGATATACCTATTTCGATTCGTAAAAATCGCAGGACTAGTTTTTAAAACGTTAGCTCTCAAAATTTTAGCTCCTCGATGTTAATTGAATATGGTATATATTTATTAATACTTCTGCTTTAATTAAACTTACTGGATTCCTTCTTTCACAATTCGAAATTTAGTTTCAATCCAAATAAAATTTGCAGCTATTTTCTGATTTGTTTTATAAGTTTGTATTTCTTAGTTAAATATACAAAGTTTTCGAAAACTGTTTTGAGTTACAAGTTATAAAATTTTTACCATAATCTTAAAGTAGATGTGTTTGTAGGCATATCTGTAAATAAAATATAAATTTTTATTGAAAATTTCGGAAGATATACAGGAATTCATATGCTGGCACGTTTTGCAGTTTGACATATTTGTTATTAAGCGAACGCCAAGTGTAGTTTACGCACTTTGTTAAAATTATTTGAAAGTATGAATGATGCACCTTTTTTTCTACTCTTGCACAATGATAAAAGTGGAAGAGGAATACGTTGCTATAAATTAAGAATTTCGCCAAATGAATTAATTATTCTTGGCTTAAACTAAAAAAAGTGTGCCAAGATATATTTTTAAAATTTTTCGGTTAGTTCTTCACCAAATTTTACAAAATTTAATATTAATCATAATTTTGGTCGTAGAATCGAAATATGGAAAAATATTGGTATGTCATTTCACAAAATTCGGATTTTATGTCCAAATACCTATGTTAAAAGAGTGTAACATATAATTTTTAAGGTAGCCTAAGCCATGCTTTCGAGACATGAAAAGAGTAAGTTAAATTTCGCCAATCGGCCCAGTAGAGTAATGGAGATATATAACTGTTCCCCCTTTTTTATGCAATGTGTACATGTCTGGGATACATATTTAAGGAAATAAAGTCCTGTAAAGAACATTTACTAATACGCGGTATAACATCATATTGGAGTTAGGTATCTAATATTTACTTTTCCCTGTTGCTTTTCTTCTTTTATAAATCAAGTCCTTATTAAGAAGCGCTTATTTGAATCTCACTATTTTCACTACAGTTTCACTTACCTAACAGTTGAACATACAGAATCCGAAATATGGTTAATACATGTTTTAAGTAAATGCAATATATTACTGCAGAGGGGAAATATGAAATTCTGTATGAGATTTTAACTCCATTTCCTCATTTCAGATAAGGCGTAGTCTGCCTCAGTTTATATCGTTAACACGATGGCGTGTAACATGCTACAACAAGTGACAGTCTCAGCGTACATGACTGCATTGCAGAATGATCGTGGGATCCTGAAACGGGATACATGTGAATTTAAAGCAACATTATTGTCCTGGAATAGGCGCTACTACAGGACTATTTCAACTGCTGTGAAACCTACTTGCTACGCTCAGTTGCGTGTCGAAAGAAACATTTCCTGGAATCTTCGCTTCCTTACAATCTGATTGTTGATTCACGCGAGGCAAAGAAAGAGCTACCAGAAGTATATAGTCGCCTTCCTTTCTTACACGAGACAGAGATGTGGACGAAAAATTTTCTCTAGCCTCGTAAAATGTTGCGGGTACGTACGCGCAGCACATACTTTAGTTAGAAAACCTCTCTGTTCAAACTAGAGAAATTCGTTTTTCGGAAAAGTGTTGCAGGTCGCTACATGTGATGAGACTCTTACAAAGAGAAACCTACTGCAAGGACTCGAAGTAGCCCTTATGCATTAAAGCTAGCAAGAATTGAAGAAGCACTCGGAATCGCAAGCAGTTTAAGATAATAAAGGGATTTTGGTTGGTATCATTGCCTACCGCGCCTGTGTTTGG